GTTAACTGAAGGCTTTCAGTAACCTAAAGAGCTCTTACCCAAGAAAAACTACTGAAGTTCAGTCACGACAGTGAGGACACGTGCTTTGCAGTATTTTTATCAGTAATTGTACATATTTCTGAGGGCCAGTGTGACATTTAAGACTGGTATATCAGAGTAGTTAACATCTACCACCTCACACAGACTCATTTATCAGGGAAACACTCAAACCCCTCTCCACTAACCACCTTGAATTATCCAGTTAATTCTGCCATAGGGCAGTGGTGGTGAACCGACAGCCTGCGTGCCACAGCAGGCTGACTGTCACCGAGAGCTCCAAAAGGTTCACCATCACTGCCACCCACACCCACCCTACACCAGGTGCCAGCCCCTCTGCACCCTGCATCCCACGAGGTGGGGACTGAACCCGGCCTGTCCCGCCCCTTCTAGCTCCTTGGTAGCCCGGGAGACCAGCAGCCTCACAATCACGAGGAGAGCCAGGCTAACACACTTCCCAAAGGCCCTGCCCGAAACCGTCATCATGTCACCTGTGTCGTGACCTTGGGAAAGCCCGGTTCACAGGGCACGGTCACTGTCCACCTGATAGAGCTCGGCTCCGGGCTACGGCCATAACACCCTGAACGTGCCTGATCTAGTCTGATCTTGGAAGCTAAGCAGGGTGGGGCCTGGTTAGTGCTTGGATAGCGGAGCTCAGCTCCCTCCACAGGGACAGGCCCATCCCCAGAGCGTTTCTGAAAAACACCTGGTAGCAAAGTTCAGCTTGGCAGGGGCCTAAGGCTTTCATGCCAACTTGGGAAGACAAGAGCCAGGCAGAAACATAAGGGAAGATCTGTGCCAGGGACGCTGTGGGGTATGCAGAGCTCAGACAGATTTGGGGGTCCCTAAGGCTGTGCACACACGCTGCACTGCGAGTCCAGGAAAGCCCCAAAGGCCCAGCTACTGACCTAGGATGACCTCCAGGCCGAGCAAGGAGGGAAGACTCGGTCCAGGGACCCACGCGACCACCACAGAATCAGCCAGGGAAGGCACAGCAGGAGCAGGTCGCGCTGCCCAGAATGAACAATTACATCACCTAAAGTGTTCAGTTTTCAACAAGAAGAAGTTACAAGACATCAGAGCAACACAAAAGAACACTCCACAGTGGAGGATAAGCTAGAACCTACCCTGACTGGTGCAGGGGTTGCATTTATCAGACAATGATCTTAAACCCAGGGGCACCAATGAGAAAATAACGCCAAAGAGTATAGTAATTGAAACAGCAAAGAAATGTAGCCGGCACACTGAGAAGCATCTCTATGCCATAAAGAAGCAGCCACAGGGCCCGGGGGCGGGGGGGCGGGGTGAGAAGACGCAGACAGCAGTGGCAAAGCTGGGGTGAAACCTGGTCACGTTAGCAGGTGCATTTGACGTAATGGTCAAACTGTGCTCTCTTAAGAAACAGAATTGAGACTCAAAAGTGTAATTAGAGAAAAGTAAAATCCTGGTGGAAAACAGTAGCCATAAGAGAGCTGGAATAGCTACAGACATCTCAGATCAAAGAAACTTGACAAGCCAGGCGTGGTGGCGCATGCCTGTAATCCCAGCACTAGGGAGGCTGAAGCAGGAGGATCACTGCGAGTTCAAGACCAGCCTGGGCTACAAAGTGAGCTCACAGCTGGCCTGAACTGCACAGCAAGACCCTGTCTCGGAAAAAAAAAGGAAGAAACTTGACAAAAAATATTATCTGAGACAAAAAGAGACACTTTATAACAATTAAAAAGCTCTACTCACCATGAAGAATGAATGATTAACATATTTGTTACTGTCTCTGATTGTTTGATCAATCTTACATTCTTATGTCTGGTGGACTGAGCAACTTCACTGAAGATAACGGTATGTAATGTAGCAACCACTGTTAATTCCTATCATTTTGTCTTGAGGTCATGTATTGTTTTTGTGTTGGTTTTGTTTTTGTCTTCAATGTTGTTGTTTTGTTAGCTTTTTTTTTGCTTTAAAAATTAAAAAAAAAGAAAAAAACATACACGCATCTAACAGGAGTCCTTAAGTATCGGAAACTAAAATTGACAGAATTTGGTGGAAACAAAAAATTCAGCCATAACAGTTGGAGACTCCAATACTCTATTCCCGATCGTTGCCAGAGAATGAATCAGAAAATCAGCAAGGGTGTGCAAGGCTGGGACAACACTGGGGATCAACCTGACTGACAGGAATCTAACAGCTGCATCACAAGCTTGGTGCCCACCCTTTTGAGGCACACGTGGTACGTTCTCACCACAGCTCATACGCCAGACCATCGAACAGGTCTCTTTCCAGTACTTACCAAAGCCAAATCATTGTTCAACTGCATGCTCCAGTGTCTGTCTCCCACAGAAAACGGGAAGATCCTAGAAAGTGAAGACTCGTTCACCACTATATCCCTAGCTCTCCTCCAGTGTCTTGTGCGTAATGGGCACCCTGGTAAATACTTTAGGAAAACAAACAAATATGTGGACCCAACAGTGTGTTGTCAAGCATTGTGAATCCCATTGTCATTTGGGAAACACATGTCTTAGTCTACCTTCCATGGCTATACTAAAATGCCCAGGCCAGGGTGACTTATGAAGAAAAGAAGTTTATTTCGTTCACAGTTTTGCAGGCTAAAACTGGAAACAGCATGGTGCCAGCTCTGGTGAAGGCTTCCAACTGCATCACACCACGGCACCATGGTGGAAGCACACGGAAGAGAGAAGCATCACAAGGTGAGACAGACACCCACATCAACACCACCTGACTGGGGGCGAGCTCCCAATAGGTGGGACTTCCAGGACACGGTTAGGCCACAGCCACACCACACACAGCACACCACCTTATTTTCCAGTCACTCCGCACTCAGGCACAGTAACCACTTGGATTCAGGTTTGCTGATACTCCCTGGAGGTCTCTGCCAGCCTGTTTTTCAGTATCTGCTCAGATTTTTGGTTGGGAGAAAATGAAACAGAATTAGCATGGTGTCACTGGAGAGAGGAAATATGTGGTGATGGACATAGTAAATCAGTCAAGATCAAGACAGACAACACCATAACATGGCTCATCCAATGGTCATACATATTGCTAGGGTTTGGATCTAGGATGCCCCCAAAGCCTTGAGGGTTTGGTTGGGAGGTGACTAGGCCACGGGATGCTGGCTTATCAGGGGATTCATGCACGGGTAAGTTCCCAGCTGACTGTGCTACTGGGAGGTGTGTCCTGGTTGGAAGAGGTGGTCACTAGGAAGTGACCTGGGTGTGTTGTTGCCCAAAGCTGTCCTCCTCCAGGGTCCTCCACCATGCATTTCTGCCTTTGAGACAGCTAACCATGGACTGAACTCACTGGGACCATGAGCTGAAATAATCCTGTCTTACTTTAAGGTGTAGGTGTCAGGTATTTTATCCCTGTGATGTAAAGTGATAAACACATCATGGGTGGCAAGGTAATTTTTTTTTTTTTTTTGAGACAGGGTCTCGCTTTGCAGTTTGGGCTGGACCTGAACTCACCTTGTAGCCCAGGCTGGCCTTAAACTCGCAGTGATCCTCCTGCCTCAGCCTCCCTAGTGCTGGGATTACAGGCATGCGCCACCATGCCCGGCAAGCAAGGTAATTTAAAAACTGGCTTAAGATTTGTTTTCTTGATTTTCCCACTGTCAATCATCACAGAGAAGTCAGGGTGGGTACCCCTCTCCTGGGAGGATAGGCAGCTATCAAAAATACAAGGAAAGAATCTGGATTTTTCTTTCTTATTGGGAGCAGTTAATAAGTGTTTGTGTTTCTAAAAATGGAAAGTTCAGTTGGAATCTACTGATGTGAGAAAAATCCCTACAAGCAGGCATTTGCTGTTGAAAGTGTGTTTTGAGGAAATTAACCAGATGGGGTGGGGGTGGGATACAATGCTGACTTCCTGCTTTCCCTTGAGAAGGATCCAGAATGGAAAAGCCATTCCCTGGGGAGAGATGCCAAGGGCTGGGACCCACATTAGGCCTCCCCAAGGTCCAACAGCAGAACAGCAAGCCGGTGGGCCGAGGACCCTGCAGCATGGAAACTCTGGAGAGAGAACCTCAGGATCGGTGCTTGAGAAGCTCTGGCCTAGGGTAGGGTTCCCATCAGAGTTTTAAAAGCTGTGTGTGTCTGTATATCGCATACATTTACGTGCACCAAAAATCACACATCCACAATAACACTCTCACACATGCAAAGGACCTGAATCACATACACTGACTGCCCAGTAACCTCTGAGTCACGGATGTAGATGGCAAAGTGTGCATTTCTGTTTATTCTTCCCTTCTTTCCTTCCTTCTTTCTTTCTTTTCTTGCTTGTATTCTGACTGCATTCTGTCACATGAATTTAGGTGTGGGATTTTCCAGTTGTATCATGTTGTTGCTCAAATATGTTGGATTTTGGAATGTTTTGGATTTAGGATATTTAAAATATTTAAGTATATACATTTTCACTGAAAAAAATATTTTTGCACATTTGTAGAAGTCTTCAGCTTCAGTAAGTTCAGCATTGATTCCATGCATGTTTATCTTTTGTCTAGACTGCAGTGTTACATATTGGCCCAGTGGTGTCCTTAAAGCTGGCTGTAGGGGTGCACACTTGTACTCCCAGCACTTTGTTGTTTTTTTTTTGTTTTGTTTTGTTTTTTTGCAGTATGGGGGATTGAACTCATGACCTTGCACTTGCCAGGCAGGCGCATATGCCAGTGAGCTAAATCCCCAGCCCTCCTCCCCTGAGCTTGGAGGCCCTGCCCGCATTGCTGCGGAGAAGCCTGTGCCCGACCCGACCCAGTGCTGGGGGGGACCTGGCCCCCAACCGCCCCAGGCGCTAGGAGCTCTCTGTTCTTCAGGGTCTGACACTGCCGCACCGTGCTGGGCTGTCTCAAGGCTTCCTCTTGGTTTTCCTGTTCCCCTGTGATCCAACGGTCCTGGAATAAGCACACAGCGGTCTTCAGTCTTCGCCATGGTTAATATCGGCTCCTCCTCCTCCAGGACACTGAGCCTCCCTCTGGGAACGTGCCTGGGGTGGCTGAGCTGCACGTTCTCTGCCTCAAGTGTGATGCTAATTTGAAGAAGTTGCTAACTGATGCACAAAAACTAACAGAACCATACGCAACCGTCCTGTGTCCCTGGAGCCAGAGCATCTGTGCGCATGTGTCTCCACGTATGAAACACTGCCAGGTAGTACCGTCTTATTATTAATGCTGCATTTTATCTATTAACTGACGGGAAAAATAATGGAGGGTAACAAGAAGGAAAGCAACAGAAGGGACCTCTATCTAATTTATCTATTAAAAATCACGATTATGTCAGTCATGTATGTACAACATTCATCACATACTTCCAGAGATTCAAAGCTCAACTATTATGCATCTTCAATAATAAGAGCCTGACCACACTGAGCCTGTAAACCCACGTGCCGCAGCATGGGTCACTCCTAAACACGGCACCGCAGGGCATGTGTGGGCCGGAACGCGTGTGTCACCCTGTACTAACGAGAAAGGCACTTCTGACAGGGAGCAGGTGTGATGGTGTCAGTGTATGCAAGTGTGCATTCACCGAAGTGTTTAAAGTGGCAAAATTCAGGCCCACCCAGCCATTTTTCTAGGTAGGTTTTTTGCTCTAAGTATGTATTCTGTCTATAATTAGAAACTATTTTCTTAATTTAAATTTGATGGCCACTTTACCTAATCAGAGGTTAAAACAGACCAGCTACAGTAAGTATGTAAACATCTCCACCAAGCTGTCAACACTGAGGCACTTCTCTCATGGAACAGGGAACTACAAGAAACACCCGGGTCCCAGGCCCAGCGGCTGTGAGAGGAAGATCCGCCTTCTCAGGAGCTGCACCAGAGCTGAGCTCCTGCTGTGTGTGTGACATTCAGAGTTTACACTTCCACTGTCTAACAGCATCCATCCTTCCACAAACTGCTAGTCGTCCCTGAAGAGCAAATGATACCTGAACTACTAGGACCACTTGCTGATGACGACCACACGAAGCAGCTCTGAGCAGGACTGAAATTAATCGGCTTTCCGTGTTTACTTGTAAGTCTGTCCAAGGCTTAGGTCGCTTGTCTGGAGATGGGCGGTGGACTCACTGTAAGTGAACCTTTGTGAGTCACCAGTCCCGACTGAGGCCTGTAATGGTGGGTGAAGCCAGAAAGCCTCAAAGCATAAGACAGGATCACCACCAAGGACACCTGGATCCAACCTCAACTGGACAAAGACTGTAGCTGCAGGCATCTCACTCCTGGGTGGAGGCCCTCCTGGAGATAACATAGTTCTCCTAAATTAACTAGTGTGTGTACTCTGGTTGCTCTTCAGATCATGTAAATCATTCGCCTTTTACTACATTAACTAGTGTCTTACTTGGAGAAGCCCTTGGGTAGATTTCCAAGGTCCTTGAATGGCCCTGCTCAGATTCCTGCCTTTCTTCAGAATTCCCCTCCTGTTCAGTAACTAAATAAAAAGGGTTGCCCAGAAAATATCTTTGTCTTAGCCCCCAGAGAATATCGAAATCTTTTTTTTTTATTGGTACTGGGAACTGAACTCCGGAACTTGCATCTGCCAGGCAGGCGCTGTGCCCCTGAGCTATATCCCTGCCCAAGAACCTTGAATTCTGTGAGAGGGTTTTGATCCTCCTGGAGCCCTAAAGTCATACCACCTGTCTCACTTATTTAAGCCTTCACCATCCACTTGTTTGGGAGATTTCGGAGCTGATCAGTCCGCAGTAACTATGGGGTAATATTAATGTGTTAGCCTGAAAAGGAACAGCAGGAAAACCCACTCTGTGCAGTGAGCTGCTGCTCACTGGGAGAACCAGGGGCTGGAGAGGAGGCTGCCCGCAGAAAGCCACAGCCAGGGCTGGGAGGGCCAAGTGTCAGTGCCGTCCCCAAACGCCACAGCGGGAGAGGCCATTCACCTCTCCACAGCTGCGGAAAGCCGCCCCGGCAAAGGACACCCTTGTGTCAATAAAGCCCCAGGTGTCCGTTGCAGAGTGGAGCAGAGGAGACTTCTGGCCAGAAAGCTCTCTAACTCTGCGCTCAGCCACAGCTTCATCCAAGGGCAGAACCGAGCCAGGCCTCAGCACTCCCAGAGAGCCGCGCTGCCCCACGCATCCACAGACAGACACGGCGCTACTCCATCGCCCGGCCAGGTGGGTTGGGTCTTCAGATCTGATCTAGGTGGCTGTGTCTGAAGAGACCACAGGTTGAGAACCACTAACTCGAGATATTTTGAAATATATTTGAGAAGAGAAAAATATTTGAGAGAAAGACAAAGGGGGTAGGAGAAAGATCTTCTGTATTTTCTTATCTGTCCAACTGATGCTCAACTTCTTAGTTTCTCTGATTCCATATAAAATGTCACAATCCTTTTTATTTTATTTTATTGTCTTTTTTTGAGACAGGTTCTTGCTATGTAGTTCAGGCTGGCCTTGAGCTCACTTTGTAGCTCAGGCTGGCCTCGAACTCACAACGATCCTCCTGCCTCAGCCACCTGAGTGCTGGGATTACAGGTGTGCACCACCTTGCCTGGCCAGATCTGGTATTTTATAGCTGATGTTTCCAAGTATTCCCCCAGGCCCGGGCTGCTGTGCATTCTGACTTTCTTTCCCATTCCCAGGAACTCTAATCCCTGGATGCACACGGGATGGACTGGGCCCAGACACCCTAAAGAGGAGCCGCACTCCGTCTGCAGATCTTGCCAGACGCCTCCCCGCATGCCGAGCAAACCCCAGAGCAGCCACGCACCTTCTGCAGCACCGCTGGGGCCCACGGCACATCTGGCACCAAGGCTGGGTCCTGGTGACCTTGGCCATGCCCAGCACTGAGCTCTGTTGGAGCCCACAGTTGTGCAGCAAATTCGTGCTTGAACGCCCTGGGTCCTGCTGTCCACACCTGCGTGCGTGCGGCTGCGACAGACCTGAAGGGGAGGAGAGGGCGGCTCCATGGCTCTTGCCGGCCTGGGGCTGCAGGCACCATGCTGGCAGCTTGCTCCTTTCCAGCAAGGGCCAAGTGGATGCCGGCTGACAGCAAAGAGAGGGCAGAGGTAGCTGGGAACCCGGGTGTCACTCGGCTCCATCAAGCACTGAGCTCCTCCTTGGTCTCCTGGCATGAACCTGTGAGATGCTGGGCTCAGCAGTCACCCACGTGCCCAGGGACAGTGCCGACCCTGAGCGGGGGCTCTGCTGACCCCGAGGAACACAGTGCCTGGAGGGTGGGGAGACGGCTCGGGGATCTCGGCTGAGGGAGCCAGGGCGGGCAGGGAGAGTCCACACCACGCAGCGCCCACCCCAGCTCCAACCCAGAGCAGAATGGTAGGGCTGGGGCGGCAAAGCAGCTCTTCCTGCGCTGTTTCACGTTGTCGCTTTGTTTTCCAAGCACAGAGGTAATTCAGCGGCGCGGTAAAGTTTAAAGTCATCTCTTCACACAACCTCTAGACAGCCAACACAGAGAAGGGGTCCGGGCCTTCCCGCCTCGGCTGGGACCCAGTGACACCTTCCCCATCAACACCTCCCTCAGAGCCCCACTCGGTGACCCCAGAGCCCACCCCACCCGGCCTCTGACTCTGAGACACCACTGCCTGTTGCTGTGGTCACTCATGGGTCCGTGCTTACAGCTTACGCTGCCTGCGAAGGGGGCAACGGCACAGAGCGGTGTCAGAAACCCAATCTGGCCACACAGCAGAGACCCAGGGCGGCGCTCGGTGCGGTCGCCGAGGAGACGGCGCTGGGTCCCGGGAGCAGGCCCCTGAGAAGACACCTTCCCGCTCCTCTGGGCCCGCTGTCCTCGCACACTTCCAGCTGTGCCAGCTCACTGTCTCCCAGACGCCAGGCCTCTCCCTCCAGTCCTCAAAAGGCGCAGACCTGGCCCGGCCAGCTCAAGCCACCGCGGTACTGGTGGCCGCTGACGGCGGTGGCTCACACGGTCCTGTGTGGCACGCTCACCAGCCACTCGTGGTCCAAACCACTTGGCAATGAGATGCATAAAGTTGGCCCGGCATGAACGCGTTAATATCCCACACCTGTCATTCTAGGACTTTGGGAGGCTGAAGCAGGAGGATCACAAATTCCAGCCCGGCCTGGGAAACTTAGCAACTCAGGGACACCCTGTCTCAAAATACAAAAGGGGGCTGGGTACGTGGCTCCGTGCAAAGACCCTGCATTCAGTCCTCAGTACTAGGGGGAAACCGGTACATACATACACACCCCACCTAGACACCAGCCACGAAACAGTCTGTGCCAATTCCAAACTCCATGGTCGGAAGCTCCCCCAGCTCTCGGTCCCCCGCCACGCGGACCCCTCCCCCACCAGACTGCCCGGCCTCCACCCCGTGACGGGCACGGGTGTGCCGTCCTAGCTCCCCAGACACACTGTGACCTCAGGCCAGCTGACACAGCGGGCACAACACAGACACGACCACCGGGGTCCAGGGTTCCCACTCTCACTCTGAAGGGAACGTCCACAAACCTGGGCCCCACAGGTTTATATAAACTACAGTGCAGCGCAGGCGCAGACAGCTGAAGACGTGCGGAGAGGGAGACCAGATCAGACTCTGCCAGGCTGGGGCGCCACCGGGGTGTGGACAGGCAGGAGGGGCGGGGCCGGCTTGCTGGGGGGGCCGAGGCCCCGGAAGACGCTCACCATCTGGACAGGCGGCGAGGGCGCTCCGGGAGGCCCTGGGGTCCCAGAGAAAGGCAGCGGTAGCAGCAGCAGCGTGGGACCCAAGGCAGGGATGAGCAAGGCGTGGGTGAAGGCCAGCGAGGACAGGGCCATGGCCGGTGCAGAGTGCGACCCCTGGGGCACAAGGACAGGGGCCAGGGCTGGGGCAGGGCCCTGGGGACCCGGCCTGCGAGCCCCAGCGGGCTTCTCCACAGGATGCAGCCTCCGGTGCTTCAGGAAACTGCCGTGCCAGCGGAAGGCCTTGCCGCACACGGCGCACGCGTAGGGCCGCTCCCCGGTGTGCACCCTCTGGTGCTGCACGGCAGCCGCCTTCTGGGCGAAGGCCTTGCCGCACTGCGGGCACCGGAAGGGCTTCTCGCCCGTGTGCACCCGCTGGTGAGCCACGAACAGCGAGCGGCAGCCGAAGGCCCTGCGGCACTCGTGGCAGCGGTGCAGCTGCTCGCCCGTGTGCAGCCGCCGGTGCTGCAGGAAGGCCGCGCTCCTGCGGAAGGCCTGGCCGCACTGCGGGCACACGTAGGGCTTCTCGCCCGTATGGACCCTCCGGTGCTGGGTCAGGGCCGTGCTGGAGCTCAGCCCGCGGCCGCACTGCCCGCACTCGTAGGGGCCGCGGCCCGTGTGGTTCTTCTCGTGCACGCCGCGGTCGTAGCGGGACTTGAAGGCCTTGCCGCACTCCTGGCACCGGAAGGGCCTGTCGCTGCTGTGGCTCACCTGGTGCCGCAGCAGCTTGGAGTTGTACCGGAAGATCTTCCCACACTCTCCGCACCCATAGAACTTCATGCCGCCGCGCAGGATCAGGCTCGGGTTCACACTGGCGGTCGGCCCGGCAGCCTGGCCTGCAGAGCCCACGCTCGGGGCGGTGCTGCTGAGGCGCTCCCCTGGCGTCTCCACCACAGCCTCAGGCTTCAGATCTGGCTCCTCCTTCCCGACCCAGCTCCCAGCCCCTGAGGGAGAGCACAGGCATCGGTTACCACGCGGGTGGCTGCTAGGGCGTCCCTGAGGTGGCCACGCTGACCGAAGGAGGAGGAGGGACAGCCAAACAGTGACCAGACGCTGGGGACCAAGTGAGCTCGGGAGGGCCGGCAAGGTCACGGGAGTGAGCGGGCAGGGAAACACGGAGGAGGAGAGCAAGGCGGAGGAGGAGGATGGGAGAGGAGGGCTCGGCAGTGAGCGGGCAGGGAAACATGGAGGAGGAGAGCAAGGCGGAGGAGGAGGATGGGAGATGTGGGCTCGGCAGGAAGCGGGGGACTGGGAGATGGCAGGGAGGAGACAGACCTAGCAGGCGAGAGGTCATGAGGTGGGAGAGAGAAACCAAGCCGACGTGGGACTGGGCCGCACCGACAACCCGGAGGTGGCGCCCTGGAAACTGCTCTTAAATTTTCCACCTGACTTTCTAGGGTGAAAGGAACGGCTCTCAAAAGGCAGGTGGATCCTGAGTCTGGGGCCACCGCGGAATTGCGGCTGAAGGGACCGCTGTGCTGGGATCTTGCTCAAGGGAGTGGTGGGCCGCAGCTCCACCTAAGAAGGACCCAGGTTGCCAAGGCCACCCAGGACCTCGCACCTCCGCAGGGGGCTCTCAGTGCTCCTGGTGCTCCACATGCAGGTGGGTGGGTGCATGCGTGTGCGCACGTGTGTGTGTCCTGGGCTGCAGTGGGGAGGACTCCCAGCCAAACTTCTCTCCGCTGGTCCCATCTCTAACAAATGTGACAGAGAGCTGAAGATCACTGGAAGCTGAACTTTTAGGGGATTTAGATATAAAAACCACAAAGCCAGGCATGGTGGTTCCTGCCTGTGATCTCAGTATTTGGGAGGCTGAGGCAGGAGGACTGCTGCAAGTTCAAGGCCAGCCTGGGCAACATAGTTCAAGGCCAGCCTGAATTACAGTAAAAGCCCTATCTCAAAAAAAATTTTGTTAAAAAGTAAATAAAATTATGAAATCATTCTTTTCATTGTTAAGGCCTAAAAATAAAATCCATGGTTCTACCAGGTGTGATGGTGCACACGTAATCCCAGCACTGTGGGAGGCTGAGGCAAGAGGATCACAAGTTCATGCTTAGCCTGGGCAACTTTGCTACTTAGCAAGACACTGTCTTACAATAAAAAACAAGAATAGAAAAGGGCTGCCAGGCGTGGTGGTGCACACCTGTAATCCCAGAACTCGGGGGGCTGAGGCAGGAGGATCACTGCGAGTTCAAGACCAGCCTGGGCTACAAAGCGAGCTCAAGGTCAGCCTGAACTGCACAGCGAGACCCTGTCTCAAAAAGACAAAATAATAATAATAATAATAATAATAATAATAATAATAAAATAGGAAAGGGCTGTGGATGTTGCACAGGAGCAAGGCCCCTGGTTCAATCCCCAGCACCTAAAATAAAAATATTCATAGCTGTGAGGCACATCAGTGTGACCCACAGAATCGCATTTTCCTTAAATTTGCCTGAAATGCCGCTTGTCTGCAATGAAAAATGGCGTAAACAAGGTAAGAGCTTCCAGCAGTGAGTGAGGAAAGCAGAGGTTTTGGGTTCTGGAGTCCCGGGATCTCTGCTTTCTGCTTGGGAACGGGCGGCACCCGGAGGGACCTGGGGAGCCGTGGGAACAGAGCGGCCCCACAGGATGTGAGCCGAGTTCCCACCTGCACCCCAGCCCCAAGAGGGCTCACTCACCGGGCTGGCCGCTCCCGGGGGCCTCATCACCCCACGGAGCTGCACCGCACTCCAGCCGGGCGATAAGGGCAGGTTTGCGGGCCGGAGTGGCTGCTGTGGGAGGAAAGGGAGGCCGTGAGGGGACTCTGTGCTCCTTCAGCGGCTGCCGTGGGACTCAACTGAAGGGACGCGGGCCCAGGGCACGGGTGAGCTGCAGGTTCCCCGGAGTGCGGCCTGCGCGGGCGCAGGCTCTGCAGGCAGGACGCTGCCTTTCCTGGAAGCCGCTCCACGGGGCCCGGGACATCTCCCCAAGCTGAGGGGCAGAGGGCTCCCCTGGAGGCTGGCAGGGCTCAGAGCCCAAGGACCAGGGGTTTCCCTGCCCAGTGCTCCCCGCACCCTGGGCTGGCAGAAGCCTCAAGCCTGCAGCGACCGGGCCTCCGGCCCCCTGCAGGGCTGAGCGGCCTCACCCAGGGTGGCCAGGAGGGCGTAGTTGTCCAGCATCACCTTCCGGTACAGGCTCCTCTGCTCGGGCTCCAGGCCGGCCCACTGCTCTGGGGTGAAGGTCACAGCCACATCCTCAAAAGTCACTGGCTCCTGAAATCACAGTGCTCAGGCACTGAGAGAGGGTGAGGACGGGCCCCTCCATGGGGCCCTGCTCCAGCCCGGAGCCCATCGGAGGCCGGGCGACACCCCACCTGACTGGACAGTCCCAGGGCCCACATGGCCACCCCACCCACCGCCTGGCAGCCAGGACTCCCTCGCGGGCACCAGGACAATCTCACCCACCAGTGGGAACTCAGAATGTACAGACACTCTGGAAGGCAGCCTGGCAGTTTCTCACAGGACTAAACCTGTGCAGGACCCAGCAATCACACTCCTTGGTATTTTACTAAAGGAGCTGAAACACACCTGCACAAAAACCTGCACATAGATACATATGGGGTGACCAAAAATTAACATTTAAATTTTTAAAAATATATTACAGTGAAGAACAGTGTTGTGAATTCCCCTCAGTGTCCTCCCATCCCATTGTTCTTGCCACTTTGGGGGTTTTATCTGTTTGTTTTTGAGAGTGTCTTGCTATGTAGTCTAGACTGACCTTGAACTTGAAGTTATCCTCCTGCCTCAGCCTCCTAAGTGCTGGGATTACAGCCATGTTCCACCACACCCCGCTCACCACTTTCTGCAGCAGTTCTGGGGTTCTCCTTCCTGAGCATCTTTATGAGATGTGATAAAAATACAGTGAACGCCGCTGCTGAGCGCCATCCAACAGCAAGGCAGCTCCTAAACACAGGACTCCGTGCCTCATCCGCCTTAGTCACTGGGTGTGGCACGGTGCACACCAAGGTCTTCCCCAAGGCCAAAATGACCATGAAAAGTACATGCTTTGAATCAGCTCAGGCCATGGAAGCAACCGGCCAAGAGCAAAGAAGACACTCACAAGAGTTTGCAGAACTGCTTCAGAAAGCAGCAGGAACCACGGGACAGGGTGTTCACTGCAAGGGGAACTATTCTGAGGGGGCTCACGGCAATGTCTTTCACTGTAATACAGTGTTCTATTTGAACACATGCTGTGCTCTTCTACCACAGTTCACACAGCAGCTTTGCTACAGCCAAACCTGGAGGCCACCAAGCTGCTCTCAGTAAGCGAACAGGTGACTAAAGTAAGGGGCAGAGAACGGAATATTACTGGGCCCTGACACGGAACAAACCATCTTGCCCTGACGTCATGGGGGCCCTCAGCGCACACTGCTAGGTGAAAAAAGCCAACCTGCAAAAGCTACACGATACGTGAACGCAAGGGCGTGACATTCTGGAGTTAAGACTCTGGAGTAAAAAGCCCGTCCCGCAGCTGTGAGGGGTCAGGGGAGGGGTGAGGAGCTGCTGGATGGTTAGAACACTGGGAGTGTGGACGCTGTCCCAGCCTCAGGAGGAGGCACCACACAGCGTGGGCTGCTCGGGGACCCAGGGTCAGGCACGGCCAGGGCAGGCCACGCAGGGCAGGAGAGCGGGGTGCGGTGGGAGAAGGTGCTCAGGAATTGGGTGCTTTCTGACCGGTTTTGCTGCAAGCCCAACTTCCCTTAAAAAAGACGATCTTAAAAATAAAAGACCTGAGCTGCAATATCCTCCTACGTGACTGCCCCCTTCTACAGCCGGCCTACCCCTGGGACTGGAAAAGCCCTTCTAACATGTAAAGCTCACCCTGCTGTGCCTGCTACCCGAGGGATGCACGCTGGGTACCTGGCAGAACCCAGGTCTCACCGCGGCGGCCTGGACACCAGGGCCTGCGTCCCGACCTCACAGCTTCAGTGAGTGCTGAGCACGCGCTGCTCCCCAGGGTGGACCTGCACCCCAGCTCGGGAAGGACCGCTTGGCCTCAGCTCTCCCACTTGGTCCCACACCCCCAAGCCTGCAGCTCGCACGGAGTGCTTGCTCCCTCCAGCGCTGCGCAGGCCCTGGGGAAGGAGCCCAGGCCAGCCGGGTCCTTCCTGACCCCCGGGCCGAGGACAGCACAGGTGGACGGTGCAGCTCACCCGTGGCCAGGCCATCTGCAGCGCAGCTGATGTCCCGGCCTCCACGCTGTCTTCTGGGTTGGAAAGCGACATCCTCAGAGCTAAGGGGAGAAGAGCTGTGAGCACCTGGGGCCACTGCGTCCCCCTCTGTCCACGCCCGCGGAGGGGACCCTGTGCCTGGCCCAGGGCCAATCCTCGCTGACCACCTGTGCGACCGGACCTGAGGGCGACCTGCACCGGAGGGAGGGTCCAGAGCACCCCGACCCCTCAGGACAGTGGACCGGGAATCGGACCCCACAGTGGAGGGAGCAGACCCCAAGGGACGCTGGGGCCGCAGCCCCGACTGCACGGGGCACGGGGAGCGGGGCCCCGACTGCACGGGGCAGAGGAGGGACCGCAACCCCAGGGGACGGGGGAGCGGGACTCGGACCCCACAGGACACGGGAGGGACCTCGGCCCAAACGCGACAGGAGGGGCTGCGGGCAGGCGGGCACGAGGTCCTTGGTTTGGGGCGCGGCCCGGAGACGCCACCCGGGACGCAGGGGACCCCGAAGAGAACCCGCAGTACGCATGCGGGAGGCGGCCGGCCGGGGTATCGGGTCAGCGGGTCGCCTCGGTTCAGGGAGGGGCTGAGTCCGAAACCCGCCCCGGACCCACGGAGCCCGGAACCTGCAGAGCACGGAACCTGCGGATCCCGGAACCCATGGGGCCCGAAACTGGCGAGCTCCCGGAACCGGTGGAGCCCGACCGGCCGCCGACCCGGAAGGGCGTGCGCTGTCGCTCTAGGCCGCCGGAGGCCCGCGTCTCGGTGGTGCGTGCGCGGGGTGCGGAGGGCTGCGGCTCGGCGCTCGTGACCCGATCCCCAAGGCCAGGGGACCCGCCTCGCGGTCTGACCCCGACCCTGCTCTGACCCGGGGGACCTGGCCGGGCTGTTCCCAGCTCGGCTTCCCGAGTTACCAAACCGACAGCAACTTGGCCTGCTGACTGGCGCTTAAATAACGTCAGTCACCCTAAAGCACACCGCCACCAGCGAGGGTCTGGGGTCCCCGCGCTGGCCTGCAGGTCTGGCTGGCGGCGGGAGGACAGAAGGGAGGGTGAGAACTGCAAGGTCTTATGTTTCGTATTCAGTGGAGCCTGTAGTCGCAGCTCCTTGGAAGGCTGAGACAGGAGGGTTGCTTGACCCGGCGGTGCCAGGGCAGCCTGGGCAACACGAGACGGCGTCTGAGGGGAGGACAGCAAAGCTGCTCTTCGAGCGCAGCGCAGGTCCCGGGTGAGTGACTTAACGTGACTCCGGGTGGGCGCAGCGCCCCTAGACTGTGCAGTTCTAGTCGGACCTCACTCCCCAGCCCAGCCTGCTTGCCCGCAGAAGCGCTCCCCTCGCAGGGAACGCGGCTCGGCGCCGAGGCTGTTCGCGGGAGGCACACGGTGTCCGAAGGAGGCAGCACAGGACACGCGGGGGCTGGGACGTCTGGAGCCACCCGAAGATGTACCCCCGACACTTCAAGGACTCCGCCCCCTGAGGTGCAGGACAGCCGGAGCACTGGACCGCGGGCGCTTACTAAAATCCTCCTGCCTAACGTCCCCTGCCTTCTCGCCGTCCTTATAAAAGGGGTGCACTCCTCCTTGTTCTGGGCAGACAGCTTGACCACGCTCTGCTTGCCTGCACCCAGCACAGCACATTCCCCGCCATGCTGCCTTCACACGAGGCTGGTGGCCCCTGCTGGCTTTCCCTCTCCCTCCATGTTGTATGTCAGGGATACAGCTGAGCTATAATTGTCACCTACATACAAAATCCAAGGAAATCAACTTTAAAAATTGTTAGAAACAAAAGAAAATTAAGCGTTGTGTGATGCAGACATGTAAGATTTTCAGTACTACAAAAATACAGTCAGCGGGTGTGACCGCACACGAGTGTTAGCCCAGCACTTGGGAGGCTGAGGCAGGAGGATCACCAAGTGTTCAAGGCCAGCCTGGGCTACATAACGAGTTGATGGCTGGTGTGAATTACATGGTGAGACCGTCTCAAAAAGAAAAACAAGAAAAAATAAAGTTCCACAAACATCCAGTCTTACGTATTTTTTGTTTCTGCAGTACGGAGGATTGAACCCAGGACCTCTTTGGTATAATCCCACCTACTTGGGAGGCTGACGCAGGAAGATGCAAGTTCAAAGCTACCCTGGGCAACTTAGTAAGACTCCATCTCAAAATAAAAAACAAAAAAAGGGCTGGGATGTGGTTCTGTGGGAGAGCCTCTTGGGTTTTACCCCCAGTACAGGGAGAAAAAAATGCATAGAAGCACTGCTCAGGAATGCAATTGCCAAGGCCCCTCGTGCCTATCACTAGAGATGATCAAGAGTATCCGTGCCAGGGCCGGGGCCATAGCTCAGCGGAACAGTGCCTGCGTGGCAAGTGCAAGGTCCTGACTTCGATTTCTAGTACCAAAAATACATTTGTGACATGCGCAGCGGCTCAGTGGTGCTCCTGTTGGGATTATCCTGCAGAAGGAAGAACTAGGCAGCTGTGGAGGGGCACAATCTGAAGCTTCCCGGGTCAGCTCCCGACTGCAAGGTGCTGACACCGGGGCTGTGGGTCCAGAGCAGGTGCCGGCAAGCAGTGCAGACCCGAGCTGGGTGGAGCTGCCTGTGCCCGGGACGCCGTCCTGTCCTCCGCACCAGTGCACTTGTCCTCCCTCCCACCCACTCTCATCCAACCCATTGCTGCTTCTCTGGAGAACTCTGCAGTCTAATACAAGGCCAAGAAGCAACCCACAAGGACGTCTTCCCTAGCCAGGAACATGAGACCTGCGCCTGCTTCCACAAAGACGCCCGCAAAGGCACGGGAAGGATTCACGCAACCCTCCCTGTGTGCGGAACCACAAGTGGAGACAACCACCTTTCAGTTCATCTGCAGTCACCTTAGAGTAAATGGACTTGTCAGTCTGCGTTTTTGGGGGTGGTATTTTTGAGTCTTGCTATGTAGTTCAGGTTGGCATAGAACTCCTGGCAATCCTCTTGCCTCACCCTGGCCTAGGCTGCATTTTAAAAACCCAACTACCTGCTGGAGTTTGGGGAACCTTCCATTTAGGTCTGGAGGATGATCATCTCACTCAAGGCTGCTGAGGCAGGGGCTCTGAAAGTCACACCCGCTCCCCAGGCCCAGCTTGGCACAACATCTACCGGTTCTGCTGGCGCCCTGTGCAGGTTACGGCTCAAATACTTTTTTTTTTGCAATACCGGGAATTTATAAGAGGTTCCCCAAAGCTAGGCAAGCCCTCTACCACTGAGCTACATCCACTCTGCCCTACAGCTCACCCATCTGCCTTTCTAGACTCACTCGGAGACTGGGTCTCCTATGCACCCTAGACTGACCTCAAAAACGTGATCCTCCTGCCTCAGCCTCCAAACTGCGTGCTGTGATCACAAGCAGGTGCCGCAAGTGGCCGTCCCATTATGACTAAGCTTCCTCACTTAACTCCTTTTCCCAAGCCACTCAGACATGTCGCCCTCTACAAGAACCAACCCCACACTGGTTGTCTTTTCCTGACTTTTGACAAAATCAGCCATAATCCTTCCCGGGGGCTCCTTCCCAAGCCATTCCCCAGGACACCATCACAGACACCAACCTAGGGTGCCCCACAGGGGAGTGGACCGGGCAAGGAAAGGACAGGCCCAAGGCAGCTCTGCCTTCAAGGGAAGGCCTTCCTTTCTGATCCCAGTGACTCTAAAGCTGGTTTCCTTTTGGCAGCACCTGGAATCAGACCCCAGGACTTTGTACCAAGCCACATCCCTAACTCACTTTTGAGACAGGGTCTTGATAAGTCACTAACTGCCACCTTCCTGCTTCAGCCTTCCAGAATGCTGAGATTACAAGGTGTGATGGGAAGATAGCTTCTGATCAGAAAATGTGTGTCATTTTCAACATACTCGTAGATTTCTAAGATGTTCTACATTCTTAGAGCACTGAGGTTTCCCTACTGTTCAAGTTACTGAAGTCTAATGTCAGCACTCTGCAGTGGAGGCAAAAGGATTCCAAACTGAAGGCAAACCCAGACTACAGTCAAGTCTGTGACTTACAAGCTTTCACCAGGGTACTGCATGAGCCTCACTCGGCCAGCTCACGAAAGAATCCGACTTGAACCACTCTCCCAGAAAGGAACCCGTGTCAGTCAAGAACTTACTTACATACAAAAAGTCAAAAAGCAAAACCAAAACCCTGAAGGAGGCGGGAGGTCTGCTTATGGGATGGGAAAAACCCTACCCACTATCTCTTTGTACAAGGAAAAACGTGGAGTTGCTGCAGCCGCGCCTTCTGGGAGCCCTTGGTGGTGGGGCGCACTGCTCCGGTGGGGTTTCTAATAGGGCTCTTCTAATGACGTCGCAACGCCACCGCAACAAGCTTTAAATCCAGACCTGACAGATCTGCCAGCGTGTCAAAAAGAACCTTTATTCTGTTAACAGCCTCACGCTTTCTTGCCCGATGCCTTTGGAGCTGGCGCCTTCTGGGCTGCAGCCTTCTGACTCGGAGCCTTCTGACCCTTCTGCGGCTTCGGGGCAGGTGCGGCCTTCTCACCGGAGGCCTTCTCACCCTTCTCGCCTGCGGCCTTCTTGACAGCGGCAGTCGGCTTCTTGGCTGGAACCTTAGCTTTAGCTGCAGCTGCAGCAGCAGCAGCAGCCGCAACTGCAGCCTTCGCGACAGGCGCCTTTTTGGGAGAAGCCTTTATGATGGCTGCCCTCTGCAGCTTCTTCACTTCGTTCTTGATTATTCTGTTCCTCTGAAAAATGTCAGCAGGAGGAAGCACTTACTACACGAGCACAGCACTCATCTACGCTGATTTTTCAGAAAAAACTTTAATCCGTATCCTACAACTGAGTCCACAGAAAAAGTCATTCCTTAAGGTCACTGGGAAATACAGCTAATAGGACACTTCCTTCTGAATTTGGCCACTGCTGCCCTATGTTGAAGTAAAGTTAGACGGTATGGATTGAAAAACTTACCATTTTCTTTGCCTTCATGACTTTGTAACGATCAAAATCCGTCATCTTGGCTTTCTGTTAAAAGGAAAAGGAAGCAGTGATCTTCCTCAAGCCACCCTCTAAACCTCCCAATTACTCAGAATTCCCAGACCCGAGAACATTACTTTTTCTCGGGCTTCTATCTTCTTGGCCCATCTGGTGGCTGCCCATTTTGTGTTGATATCAGCCTTCTCCCAGGCTTGTCGGACGTACTTCTGGCGGGCACTAGAGAAATCCAAGATCACAGATTAAGCAACCAGCTCTGACATTACACAGCCATCTAGGACATTTTGTCCTTCAGAAAGCATCTCTCCTACTACTTCCCAGTGTTAGCTGTCTACAGAACACAAACCACCCAATAGTATGTCTTCCACCTACTGAACAGTGCTCACAAAGCTACTACAATTTCAAAGATGATGTTTTTGACAGTCACTGTAGTTCAAGCTGGCCTTGAACTCAGAAACTCCTCTTGCCTCAGCCTCCCAAGAGCTGGGATCACAGTTGTGCCTGACGCTTGGCTCAAGGTCAAAGTTAATCAAAACTGCAATTCTGGGCCAGGGATATAGCTCAGTGGCACAAGCACCTTACTGGCAAGCACAAGGTCCTGAGTTCAACTCCTGGTACCAAAAAAAAAAAAAAAAAAAGAAATCTGCAATTCAGTCCACCTTTCCCTATCCATGTTGCAGACTTAACCCATTTATGCTGAAGACTGAACTTCTCGAATTTTTGCATGAAATTCCTGTTACCTAGAAACACAAGGAACAAGAACTTGAAAACTCTCCAGGGTTTTGTGGTGATGAGTGTTCCAAAAACGAACCAATAGGCACTGGAAGGTTTAAAAAAAAAAAAAAAAAAATCACCTCACTACATGATTACTAATGAGGGTAGTGAATGGGTAGCCAACAATTTCCTTTCAGTACTGTGCACCTGCTATCACTCAAGTATCAAAAACAATTACCAAGAGTTCCCAGAGAAACTCCTCTACTGATGCAGACATCTGCAGGATTCATCCTTAACAGGCCTTCAAACAGTGTGCATGAGCAGCAGGGCGGGGACCGATTCACGCAGAGTGGGAGTGTCCACTGCCAGTCCTGAAGTGTCCATTGTGTACGCCAGCCACTGAGGTGCCCGCACACTGCGGTTTCTGTCCCACTTTTTTAGGGTTTGTTTTTTTTTTTTTGGTGAGGGAGTAGTGTTAGATGGAAAGAGATGACCTAAAATATGGAGTATCACCATCTTCTGGACACTACACACAGGTGACTAAATTATACAACTCAGATCTACTTTACTCGTGGGGGTCATGTTTTATGTCCCACTACAACCACCTGTTGTTGTAGGTCAACGTAACTGTACAAGAACACATCACGGAATTTTATTTCCATATCAACAAAAGAACTGTCCCCCTTTGCCTTAGCTCCCTGTTCATAAACCTGGAACAGAAGCTCACAGGTTGAGTATTTTATAACTGATATGATGCTCTGAATTCATCTAACAATAAGCACTGGAAAAGAAAGAACTGGCATTTTTGTTTTAGGGCTGGTTATATATAGCTAATAAGCACAGCACCTACCTGGCATGCACAAGGTCCTGCGTCCAATTCTCCCCAGCTCCGAAAAGAACAGGCATTTTTGTTTTAAAGCTGAATGTCACTGCCCCATAATGAGCCCAAACTCTTTAAGAATTTCATCGTGTGATTAAAAAAACCAGGGACAGTGGCCCACATCTGTAATCCCAGCAGTGGAGAGGATGAGATAAGATTACCTTCCTGAGCTACACAGTGAGTTCAAGGCCAACCTGACCCTGTCATAAAAACACTCACCTCCCAATCAAAAAAGGGACCACAAGGAGAAAAAAAATCCAAATTTGAATAAAACTAAACCCAGTGGCCATGGTGGAAAAGTGACCACAGGACATTCCAAAAGCAAACGATACTTAGATTTTTTGAAACGGGGTCTCAGTAGCAGCCCAGGCTAGCCTTGAATGCTGGCAATCCTGGCTCAGCGTCCTGGGATTACAGGTGTGCACCCCATACTCAGCACGCCAGTCTGCTTTACAATGTAAACCCCACTTCTACGCTGCTTCGATTTCTGCCTGCTCCGCTCTCAAGGTAAAAACACAGAAGCAAGAAGGTTTAATTAAATCAAACTAGAACGTTTGCTAGCACAGTGCCGCGGGGGGTTACCTGTGTGGGAACTTGAGAATGAAGTCCGTGAGCTGCATGCACTTGAAAGGCATGGCCTGCCGCCTCACTCGAGTGCACGGTCCATCCACCAGCGCCTAGGACAGAGCCCGGGGATCGCTCAGCACAACACCTCACAGCAGGGAAACGGCAAACACTCCGACACTGGCTGCTTCACCTTTCAGGACCATCCAACCCCACTACTGCTGCAGCACTGGCACGAGCACGCCAACCGCCTTCTGCGCGCCTGGGTGCCCGCTACACTCGTTTTGAACGGAGCTCATCTGAACCCACCAGCATCGTATCCGTAAGGACCCAGGCACTGCTCCACCATCAGGCACAGCTAACGCCAGCTTGCGTTTAAGACCCCCTTCTTCCTCCCCGATGGCACGGTACGGCCACAAGCCGGAGCCGCCTCGCTGGGCCGACTATCTATGCCACGGAAACGCGTCCCCCCGCCGCCACAGCGGGCGTGGAGCGGCGACCTGGACCGCCCCCGTACCCTGTTCTGGTCGATGACATCGACGATCGCGACCAGCTTTCCGGCGTGCGGCCCGAAGGAGACGTAGGCCACCCGGCCGACCTCCACGAAGCGCCGGAACACCTGGCGGCCGAGAACAGGGTGCAGGGTCAAGCGCGCGCTCGTCCGCGGGGTTCCGAGCTCCCAGGCAACACGGCTCACTGCGGGGGTCGGCGGCGGGCGCGCAGGCGCCG